ATTGGTACACTATAGAATGCATCGATGCACTTCAATGGAAAATTGAAATAGACATTTTTTTTGGTCTAAGAAATGATAGATTAGAGTATATCAATTAGATATTGATATGTATCAATGTATGATTATGTAGATATTGAACATGAACAAGTTTCAGAACGATTATCAAGTTAAGATTCGATCGAAAGAAAGGAAATCATAAAAGTGGATTGGAACTTAGTGAGGCCAAGGTGAGTGTATATTATTAGATTGTGTATATTATTATAGGGAAATTAGACTTGTGATAAGTCTGTTTCCAATATTTTATATGTTTGCATGAATATAAGTATGATTAAGTTTGTATTATGTGTATATGCTTTGTTCATATTATATGTTATGAGGTATGAATTTATATGATATGGGTTATATGGAAACGAAATATGTAATTATATGTGAAATAAGTTATAAGGTCACGAATAATGTATAATAGTAAATGTTGAATGTGATAACCATAGAAATAAAATAAGTTAAGTGATCATGAACATGTAAATATATGTTTAGATGAAGATATAATAGCAAAACATAAATTACATGAGTCAAGTTTATGGAAACTATATAATTTACTTATAGTATTAAATGGAAAGTGAGATAAAGTAACTAGCATTGATTTATAGGACAATATGAAAATAGAATATCAATTAGGAGATCTGTACATAAATAATGATAATCATATGAGAGATAAGCTGTATGAGAAAGATTAATGTGCTTAGATGAGCTATGATATAGAAATTACATGGTAAAGATCTATGAAGTCATATGAAAAGGTTATAAGAGTAATGTAAACTTGATTTAAGAGAATATAAGAAATTTGTATATAAATGAATTTATATAAGTGATATATGTTAGTATGCTACAATATATGTTATAGGATCTATGTGATTAAGTAAAAATGTGATATCCATATATGACAATGATTTGTGAAATTGTATGAAAATGTGATATGATCTACGATATAATAAATCATGTGAATTATATAGAAGTGATTTGTGTGAACATATCTTATATGTCTTACATGATATGTATGATTTCACAAGAAATGATATGAGCTATGTGATTACATGATTATAAGATATCAGACATGCGATAAGAGATAAGTGTTATGAATGTGTGAATATGAAATGACATAAATAATAATGCCCATGTTATGTTTCATGAGAGCTAGGGGTATAGTTGGCATGCCAAGAGTTGAGGGTCTACGCGGTCTTTCGGGACATACAGTTGAAACTCTATAAATTAATAATGTCAGGACTGGAGAAATTTATTAATTTATCGATAAATTAATAATTATTAATTTAAAGAGTTTTTAAGTAATTATACTGTACATACCAAACAAAAAGGCAAATTAGTCTATGCCTCTTAGAATTACGTTGCAAGAGATGAGTTAAATTAATAATGAGCTCCAAATAGACTTGAACTTTAAAGGAAAACAGACAACTATTGAATCATATTTCAATAGAGTGTAATATATTTTTTTCAGTTTCTATGAATTATTAATTTATGATTTTCTTGGGACCGAAAATTATAAAGAGATCTCACGAAAAATTAGTATCTTATTATTTTATCGAGTTTTTTAATTTTTTACATTGGCCCAAGTCGGGACCGGACAAATTTATTATTTTAGAGAGTTTATTAATTTACCGAGTATTAATTTAAAGATTTTCTACTGTATATGTATTCCTTGGAACATATGTGATGTCTTTTGAGGCACATACTTGATCCTTTGTATATGTATATGATTCTTAAGTAATTTTCTACGTGGTCCTTAGGGACATTTTATATGGCACTTCGGTGCAATTCTACGCGGCACTTCGGTGCAATTCTACGTGGCACTTCGGTGCATTTATATGAGTTGTGGTGACAACATTTGTGTACAACCTCTATAGACTCGCGTATCTATAGTTCTCACATGTGTACATGGGCTAATAAAGAAATAACAACAAACATATTACATGTGAATTGTATGCTTTTGTGCTATGAATGGTATTATATGATTTATATGATGATATGTGGATTGTATGATTAAATGAGTCAAATGTTGGTTAAATACTAGGTATATGAGGATATGTACGAAGAGAGATAAATAATAATGGTATTGATAATGAAATGAGGCTAATGATGGAAATGATGAGTATATGTGTATATATATGTTCTTACATGCATGTAATGATATATTGCAGATGTGTTATAGGGATTTGTTACATGAATAAGGGTATGAGTGATAGCAGTAATAGTTCATGCATGATTACAAGTTATAGTTTACATTACATGTTTATTTGCCTCACTAAGTCATAGACTTAGCGTGTGATTGTTTCACACGTAGGTTACAGAAGCGAGAAGAAAAGCGAAGAAGAGCAAAACAGGTCAGCATCTCCCTTACAAAGTTTCAGATAAGAAAATTGATGATTTAAATGTGTTTGGTTAATTTGAATATAGTTGGCATATACTAAGTGATTGAGTTGAATATGCTCTGATGATTTTGGTTATTTTGGTCGATTTATGTAGATAAATCGCTTTTATTTTAATGGAAGTTTTAAATTTTCTTTGAATTTTATCCAGAGTAAAAGTTTGAAAAGTCAATGTGACACCTCAGACTCGTATCCGGGTCGAGTACAGGGTGGGGGTGTTACACAAAACTTCTAGAAACTGATTGAAAATAAAAAAATGAGATCCCTATAAAAAAAAGGGTCGATGGCTAACAGAATAAACAGTCATTTTGAAAGAGATACATCATGATCATAAAGTATTCAGATATAACTACAGGGTATTCAGGAACTGATGCATCATAATTATTTAAGATTCAGATATTCCATCAATCATACTCACAATGGCTTTCTAGTCATTTAATTCTTGGGAATTTTGGTAATTTAGTTTAACAAGGGTAAGAATCAATTTACAATATTTCAAATTTCAAGAATCCTATCAGACTTCCAAAACTATTCCAACTGTAGAGGTTACTGTAATGTGATACTTACCAAGTATGGAGGTAGAGAAACTTCATGGATATTTATTTCTTAATATTGACTGCACTGTAGAGTCGAACTGATCACTTTTATAGCTATCATTAGACGGATTTTAAAGAGACGAACAGGTAATCGAGTGGTAATTATTTTATTCTCATATTGTAACAATATCAGGGATGGTCGGCCTACCTAGGTCATACCCTATAAACCTTAAGGGCGTTATAACATTTAATGTTGCACATGTATTCTTATAACTTATCCAAAGGCAATTGTTTATTTCATATCATTTTGGTACACGAGGTTGTTTAGCCAGATTAGAACTCGGAGGTATTTCAGTCATTCCAGAGCTTGAAGGGTATTATGGTCATTTTATAATCTAGGGGCTTTTTGGTCATTTTGGTGTTTAGGATTATTTTGGTCATTTTATTCCATTCAATCTCTCCTTTAACTCGAACTTGTCATTTATTTCAATGATTTGGAACATTGTTGCCTATAAGAGTACTTTCGGTAAATTAGTATTCATATATTTGCTTATAAATCATGAATTATAGGTCTATTGCATTCTCAAGGGTTAGGAAATGATTATCAATAAATTTTCTGAACAGATCAGGAATTTAACAGGTGAATTTGTAGTTTATCGGATTAAATATGAATCCTCAGGGTACTTTTATTATCAAGGTCAGTCCGGGCCATTTTTACTTCCTACGGGTAATTTCGTAATTTCTTAACCAAATAATTTCAATATTAAAACTTTTAACGAGGATAAATAAAATTTAGAGATTCTAAGGTTAATTGTTTCCGGATAATCATTGAACTTGAAATTATTTCTTTTCAATCTTCTAGTGTCTTATACGTGTAATTTGGGTCTTAGTCAGTTTAATACTTTATATTGCATACAGATCGAATTTAGAAGTATTAACTACACACGTAACCAAACATATTCAACCATACATTAACCAATATCAACATATTCCATAAAGCGTTTATAAGGTATTAATGTATTACTTCGATTTTCGAGTCATATTAATCGGCCATTTAAACTCCACTCGATTGCTTTCGAACTTAAATCTCATGCCCAAGTTGGGTTTTGGTCAGACGGCGACGGGAGTCCAAAGCTAGGGGTGATGAGGCGAAATGACGTCAGGTTCGGCCGAAAATTGAAGAAATCGAGGGTGGTCGGCGGGTTTCAATGAACACTTGAACGTCAATTCACGACAAACGATGGTGATCCACGACAAGGGGATAGAGGGGTTCTGGTCACAGGAGGTCGCCGATCACACTAGTAGGTTCGATGACAGCAACGGAGGCCGGACGGAGATGATTCAACGGTGGGGGGTTCGAACGCCATTTCCATAAATTCTTTATGAACGACGACTGACTCCGTGTATACAATGGTTGGGATTTGGACGAAGATTATTAAGGACGATATTATTGAAAAGAATAGTCCTAAACTCTAAATATTTTCGTAAAACAACATAGAATACATCAAATGAAAATAAAAAGGCATAAAAGAAAAATCAAGCTTCACAATACTTTTTAGGGTAAAATACATGTTTAGTACTCCAACAATTAATTTTGTTTAGTTTTAGTCATTCAACTATTTTTTTCTAAATTATACCTAACGTTACATTTTAAGTTCATTTTGATCACCCATCGTTAAAAAATTAATGATGATATTGGCGTGTCACATAAAGTAATGTCACATATCATTAATTTTTAAAAAAAAATCACGTCAGCAGTTCTGTTATTTTTTTAACAACAGGTGAGTAAAATGAAATCAAACGTAATATTACGTATGATTTTGAAAAATATAATAATTTGGTGACCAAAACGGAATAATATGGGGATAGACGTATAGTTTACTGTATTTGCTAATAAAATTGAAAGTATGCCTTGGACATTCTTGTTTTATGTTAAGAATAGTTGGGTTGGCCATTTCAAGCATATAATAAAAATTAAATGAAAATACAAATTTGTCAAACTTATAGGACTGCAACTGCAATTTCACAGCCTTAAAGATAAATCAACCTGACTAAGCTCATCCTCAACGTATTCCACAGAAACGTAGTTCATGTCTCTTCTAACATAGCTCATTTCTCCAGCTCGACCTTGTTGTTCAAACGGAGCCATTGGTGACTGCAGACGTTGACCATGAGCCCTAACAACCGAGCTTAGCTCCCTGATTTTCTTGGCAAGACTCCGTTCTAGTTTGTGAGCATTTTGGTGCCCTCCAAGTGCTTGTGAGCTATTGAACTTCCTTTTGCAATAAGTACAAGAGAAGATTCGAGGTTCGGCCAGGCTGCGGGGCGATGACGATGACGATGACGGTTCGAGGACTAGCTCTAGGTTGAGTTCATTGTTGGGTAGGCTTAAACGAAGAGAGGTGTTGAGGTGATAATCCATTATGTGATTGCAGGCAGAGAATGGAAGAGTTTCTAGGCAAATCAAAGTGGCTTTTGGAAGATAAGTGTAAATGAAGGGTATGGCAAGGATTATATGATGAAGTGCAAAGGTTCATTGTTCCTGCAACCACAGATAGTATAAGTAAACAAAAGAGATGGCCTATGGAGAGAGAGAAAGAGAGACAGTTATGTGCAAAGAGCAGTGGGGAATCGAAGGGTTGTCGCCTCCATTCATGGCAATATTCTAATCCTTTGTCGGTCCAACCAAATAAATTTCAGGGTATACTCACAAACAAATAAGAAAATCAAAACATCACAATACTAAATTTCAACCCTAAAGTTTGATAAAATAATCATTTTAACTCTTATTTTTTCAATATTTAAATTCTCATTGTCTCATTTTAGGGGAAAATACCCATGATTGAATAGAAATCGTTAGTTGAGTAATGATCAATGTTTATTGTTAACGTGACAAGTCATATGTATCCAAAGTAATTAATTTATGAACATGTGTCTTATCATCACTTATGTAAATATGGCATGTGTCACATCATCGCTTATGTATACATTACATATATTACATCATCACTTACGTATACGTGACACATCGTTATTTATATACATGTAACATGTGTCACTTCATCACTTTAGATAAATAAAACTTGTTACATAAGCAAAAAATATTAACTGTTAATCAATTAATGATTTTCATCTAATTATAGTTCATTTTATGTCAAAATGGAATGTTGGAGGCTGAAGTGCTAAAAAAACAAGAATCAAAATGATTGTTTTATCAAACAATAAAAACATTTTTTTGACATTATGCCTGATATATATATACATTATATGACATAATGCCTTATATAATTCTCTCTATATATATAGTTGGAAGTTCTCTTTATATATTGAATCCCCCTTCATTTGGAAACCAGATTTGGATGATGCACTGGTCAGGTTTCCAAGAAAGGTATTAGTTTTAAACAAGATAAACAGCCTTAGACACACAAGACTAGACATGTTCCCACTGGTTCTTATTGATACAACTCTTTGATCAAGTAATGTTCCTCTACATGTCTCAATTGTCAGACGACACACAACCAGAGGGGATATTAAAATCCACTCAACTTCTGGGCACTCACATGAGTTCATCCCTTACCTCATTCTTTCTTTAACTGTCCAAGTTCAAAGTTCAGATGACGTGTGCACAAATTTCATGACAGTCAATTACAAGAGAGAGGCAAGATTCATCACTTATGACCCTAACAAAACATTAAATATTTCCCATTAATCATATACAAGAAGACATCGATAGGTCTAATCTCTTTATCTGTATTTTCATCTATCGCTCCAATTCTTAAACATAAGATAGAACATATAGACTTAGATAACTTACTTCTAAGTTTCGTTATTTCTATTAATGATAAAGAAAGATAAAATTATGTTTGATTGATTATTGTTGTTGTGCTATTGCTGTGATCGGTGTTTGACCTGAGACAAGCACATGGGGTATGGGATTTAAAACTGCAGAAAACCAGACAGATCAGCCACTATGTTGTCTCAAACAGGTAAAGCTTTTAAAATTAAAAAAAAATGGTGCAGAATTATTTTATGAACAAATTATTTGTTAGACCGTGATTGTGGGATCATAATCTAGCAGGTCGGCTATGATTGCTCTGAGAATTGTCTGTTAATGAAAGACACAAATCCAAACCAAGAAGACTACATTTCTTCTCACCATTGTCGTTAAGTCATAAAGATTCCCAAGCTCTAGAAACATTAATTCCCTAGTAAAAAGAAAAAAAAACATACTAGTATGTATCAATTATTATGAAATGGATCGGCAGCTAAATTCCATGTGTTCTTCTGTACTTTAACAACCCACGAGACAAGGAATCATAAACTTCAAATCCCCCCTATGGTACCTAATTATTTTCGAGTAGCAATGACTGTTCCTTGGACTTTCCCTTAGTCAGTTAATTGGACCTGACTTGCTTTTTAATGAGATTCATTTAATTAAGATAATGATATATGATTAGTATTATTTCGTACATTCATATTTTCTACACGTGGCAGCGTCATACGTGATGATCAAGAAAGATGGTTTCGTGCATAATGCTTTAGAATATGCATGGAATATAGGATTTAGAAAGGTCGAAGTTGAAACGAGTTGTGTTGATATTTATAATTTTGTAGTTCATGAACCATTAACGTTAAAGGGAAATGTTATCGCGGATGCAGTGAGATCTTTGTTGGATCAATATTGAGAGCTGTATATTTATCATGTACGGCGCGAGTTCAATGGTACCACAAATTTATTGAAAGATTTAAGTCAGGTTAGGCTAGGCTAGGGAAAAAAAAGGTTTTTGACTCGTTTTCTAGAAGTGTCAAAGTTGTGCTTGGTATTGAAACTTTGAATAGTGGATAGTAAGTTAGTACTTTTGTATGATAAAAAAAAAAGCATAATGTCAAAAAAATATTTTAAACGTTTGATTAAATAGTCATTTTGGTATTTATTCTTTTTTATAAACATTTTGACTCTAATATTTTATTTTAGGACAAAAATATCTCTAATATTTGACTAAATAGTCATTTTAGCTCTTATTTTTTTTAGCATTTTGACCTCCAATATTTCATTTTATGAAAAAAAAAACCTATTTTGGAATGTTGACTAACGATTTTCGTATGCGAAGGAGGTTTTAATCTCAAAATGAAACATTGGATATCAAAATACTCTAAAATATTACACGAACAAAAGTGATTATTTAATAAAACGTTAAGAATATTTATATCAAAATATTCTCAATGATTAATTTATAGAAAACAAACAAAATAGGGGTTGCTCATTTCAAGAAAAAACTTGTAGCAAATGTCAATGTGAGAGAGAGAGAGAGAGTCACATGGGAAAATGTAAGGTATTAGGCTCAGCTTTAACGAAAGAAATAGGAGGGAGCCCCGGGTTTTGCCTACATAGAAAGTATATACCATAGATTAATGGGAAATAATCCTATGAAGAAACTGAGGTAGAAATGATCATGGCGGACATGTTTGTGTCTTGTCGGGTTAACTTAACAAAAATCAAAATGTTCTGGGAGGAACACACCATGAGGACTCCTTCCCTTTTATTGCAACACATACACAATGACTTCCACTCTTTGATTTTTATTTATTTTATTTTTTGTTGATGAGGTGTCTAAGATTGTAACGACAATAGATAGTTTATAGGTTGACAGATTTCTTATATCTGAAAAAAATATATGAATGCAATCGTTTATCAATAGATTTGATGTTGACAGATCTTTATATATGTCAACATTTTCATCAAGTATTTAAAACGAAATAATAAATAGATAATCCTGAAAATTTTGTTTTATGAAAAAGTGTTTCTAAAAATTTATGATAAACAGAAGGATTATTCGTGAAAAAATATCTTTAAATATATAACACGTTTTTATGTGACACAAAGGAAAATGTGTCATCATGAACCCATCTTCACGTAACTGTATGCCTAATTTTCTTATGCAGATTTGCTTTTTCATGCAAGGTATAATTTATAAATTTAGGTATGATTGGCTGCCACCATTAATGCTGTGTGGCGCTAAGCTATGATGAGGTTTAATAGCAGGGTCACTCTTGAAGAAAAATTATTAAATAGATCTGATTTATTAAGCTATTTATGGTTTAATTAATAAAATTTATTAATCTTATTTTTATTTTAAGATGAATCTTCACATTTTTCTTACATATAAATAAGAAATGAATAATTATTTAAAAATTATTTTAAAATAAATATATTTTATTGTCTGATATCACAAATTACGTTTGTGAGCTAAATATTATAATAATTTCTCCATTTTTGAAACCCACTTTTTACCCGCACTTTTTGGGTGTTTTCTATTTCATTTTTGGACCTATTATCATACATATTTTGTTTGGCTGCAACAATTTATTGTCTTGTTGTGGTTACTTTATAGGTTGTAAATGAAACGAGATATATTATGAGTTATTTGAGTTTGAGTCGATCAAAACTCGATTAATATTTTATTCGAATAGATTTGAATCGTGTTTGAACTTGATTCAAGTATTTAACGAGTCGAAACGAGCTATTTGAAACTAGATTTTAAAAGCTCGTAAGTAACTCAAAAAAATAATATATTAAAATTTTATTTTTAAAAAATTTAAATTATTAATAATATTAATATTTATGTGATGATTTTTTTTAAAATGCGGTATAAGGTTTTCATGTACTTAATGTTTATGTTTGAGTTCTCGTTTGAATCTCAATCGAGTTAAGTTTATGATTTTCTTTATTTCAAACTTTTTCGAGCTTCAATTCATGATTTTAGGTTCAAGTGGAACATGAAAATTTTAGTCTCGCGAGCTTTCGAACCGAATCAAACTCCATTTTCAAGTGTTCGAATCAAATTGAGTTCAGCAACACTTAAACTCGACTTGACTCGTTTACATATCCATTCCTTTGGTATTGCCTGACTAATTATTACTGTTGAAAGATTTCACGATTTTTTAAAAAAAAATCTTAAAAGTATGATGCACCTTATAATCGGTCGAACTTCCAATAAATAATATTATTCTCTAAAATAATATATGGGCACCTTTATAAAACAATATCAAACGTTGAAAGTTCTAGACTCTTTAATTGCTCTCAAAAGTAACACTTTTTTCTTACTTATTTTGAATATATTCTCACACTACAAGACTTTATTATCCTTAATAATAATCAACGGTACAATGTTCATTTTATAATAAAATCGATAATTTTAATGTTTATTTTGTAACTTTTAAAAGTTCGTTGTTCAAAATAATTATTTTAGAATAGTTCAATGATATTTTTAACTTTATCCTTTTTAGTTTTAGGAAATCAATTTTTGTATTTTTCCTTAAATATTTAGGACCATTTTAAATTTTTATGTTTAAATTAAATGCTTTTAATTTTTGCTTTTAATTTTAAATTTCATTAAGGTTTAATTTATTAATTGGATTAGGTTTATTTTATTTATTTGGGTTAAATGGTTTTTGTATAAAATATTTTTGGACTTGGGTTTAACTTTAAAATATATTGGGTCTGGGTTTATAATATTAAGGGTTGGGTCTGGGTATATGATAACTTATTATGTAAAATATTGAATTAGTTCGGTTCAATGGATTTTTCATTTCTCTTGACTTTTATTTCATCCTAGTTGAGGTTAAGGGTGTAAATAAGATCAGATAAATAGTAAATTATTCGAGTCTCACTCATCAAAGCTCAATTAATATTCAATTTGAATGGAGCTAATTTAAACTCTAATTTAATTCGAATTCTTAACAAGATGAGTTACTCGATACTCTACTAAAAAAATTAATGAATAACTGGAAAATATAATATATTAAAATTTTATTATTTTAATTTAAATTATAACATTCCTAAATTTTTAAAAATTATTTAATAACTTTTTAAAAAAAATAGTAATAATAGACATGATAATTGAGATTTTTAATAACTAAAATTTAAATATAAAAAATAATCTGTCACTCTAAATTTTGAACTTCAAAGGACTGTTTTTTATAGCTTGAATCTAGATTTAATTTTTTTATTTGAGTTAGAGTCCAGTTTCACGATTTTTAACTCACGAGCTTTTAAGTTGAGTCAAACTATATTCGACTTTAAATATTTTGAGTTCGAATAGAGTTCAACAAAACTCAAATTTAACTCATTTCATTTACACTCCTAGTAGAGAAAAAATATCCCTCAATATTCCATGTAATAGATGTTATCGACTGTAAAGATTTATTTTGTAGAGAGAATCCCTAATTTTTGTGTCATTATTTTGGATCGTACATTAAACTTTACGTAGAATAAAGAAAGAGGTTATTAGCAAAATAGAGGTTACTAGCTAAATAGAGGCATTGATCTTGTATCCCACTATAAATCAACTTCCCCATTGGGACATTGAATGTACTGAGCAGCATGTTCCCTGGGTCAATGCCACTTTCTTTAGATTCAAGCATAGGCTGAGTCGGTGGGTATAACCCAAAGAAAGGTTCGCCATGTTCTTGTAATTGCGAATCCACCTAATCACGTAAAGTTGACTAAATTCAATTGTGACTGCATGCCGTCCTTGGCTAAGCCAACATTAGGCCTAAACCCACTCATCTAAATCTTTTAAGGATTTTATTTTTATTTCTATAGAAGTTATTGAAATTTTATATATTTTGGTCAGATAAATCTTTTAATAAGATTCTTAACATATTTTGTAAATTTACTGTCAAACGATTATGTTTATTTACTTTGTCAGTCTACAAATAACCATTATAATTAACCCTAGACCTAACACCAACACTAAATGTTATTATATAAATTGTGTAAAATTGAGGAGAGGACTTTAAATTCATTCTCTCCTAGACCTTTATTACATATTTGAGAACGAAAACAATAGTCAATGCAACTGTTAATGTAATTATTCCAACTATAGTTAGTATCATACAAGTTAAAATTATAGTATGGACCATCATCTTCCATTCATTATTCATATAACTAGAAGTACAATAATTTACATTCATCCCCGCCTTTGTTTTACGTTCCCAAATCACACCAAGGGCACAAGGATACAATATTCATGCCTTTCAGGCGGTGCTCCTCAAATTATTCAACCTTTTTTCCCCCATCACGTTGTTGGAACCTTAGAGGATGGAAAGTCAAATTGTTAGGCCAAATAGCACGCAACTTACAACAAGTCCATATGCGTTGTATCAAAGGAAACGTATTGAACTCCGCGCCTATGCCCTTTCATAAACTACTCTCTCCACTAGACCCAACGCCCCTAATATCAAATGACAATGAAGCCTTCATCAAGATCATCACAAAGCAAACGTTTCATCCTCTCATCTCTCACCTTCATCTTGTTCCTCTGTGCATTAGCTTCCATCAACGAGATCCGATTCGACACATTCTTGATGTTCGGAAGATGCGCTTTTTCCAATGTTCCTCTCGATCCGTCCCACAACTCGTCTTCATTTACATCCAATGTCACGTCTGATGGTGACGACATTCGGATTCTGATCGGGATCCTGACGCTTCCCGATCAATACCATCGTCGTCATTTCCTTCGACTCATATACGGTACGCAGTCTCCGATGGGGGCACAAGTAGATGTGAAGTTTGTTTTGTGCAACCTCACTAAGGAAGATCAGAAGGTGTTGGTTGCACTTGAGATAATGCGGTATGATGACATTATAATCCTCGACTGCAAAGAGAACATGAACAAGGGCAAGACGTACACTTTCTTTTCGAGCTTACCGGAGATATTCAACTCGTCGGATCGACCGTATCCTCCGTACCATTACGTGATGAAAGGTGACGACGATACGTACTTGAGATTGGAGAACTTGGTGGAGTCGTTAAGGCCGTTGCCGAGAGAAGACTTGTATTACGGCTATGTGATCCCATGCCCCAGCATGGACCCATTTGTTCATTACATGTCCGGGATGGGATATTTGGTGTCCTGGGACATAGCCGAGTGGGTTCGAGAATCAGACATCCCTAAAAACCATTTGGAAGGACCGGAGGATAAGGTGTTCGGAGAGTGGCTCCGAGACGGGCATCGGGCTAAAAACAGGTTCAATGCTAAGTGGTCGATGTACAATTATCCGGAGCCGCAGACAAGGTGCACGCATGAGCTCTGGCCGGACACCATCGCTGTGCATTTGTTGAAGAAACAGGAGATATGGATTCACACCTTGAAGTATTTCAATGTTACCAGCAATTTGAAACCATCCAAGTTATATCACATACCCTAGTTATCTACTCAACTCTCATATTTTTCTTCTTTTTATTATTCTTTTGATTTGTCCACATATAAATTTTGATTTTCTTCATTCAAATAAGTAGTTAAAGATTTTCAACTGACACCTCCTCTGTTCCTAAGATCATGAGCAAAATTTTCCTTCTCCTCCCCCTTAACAATAATTGTTAAAAAAAATAATTTTCGAATAGTGTTGTTCGTGAGATAGGCCGTCTTTTCCTGGTCTTAGGATGGGTGTTTAGCATAATATAAATTTGGGTATACTACATATTTAGTTATCCAATTATTCTTGAGATTTTGTTTTGATCAATGAATTATTTTTTATTTAAAATCATACCTAAATTCACGTTTTTGTACCATTTTAGTCACGTTCTGTTATTATTATTTTTTGAAGAGTTTTGGGTGATTACAAAGTAGTATTTCTTCAGAACTTTCTTAACCTATTGATAAAACACACACTCTACAGACGCAACTGCTTGAACTAATGACCTTTAGGAAAAAACATTCTCTTTTAACACTGTGGTTTCTTGATGGGTTCATCTGTTAAAAAATTTAAAGTAATACCTTACATGTCACCATAATATAATGTCAAATGATCATTGATTTTTTTCAAATGTCACATCTTTAATTTTGTTAATATTTTAATGATAGATTATAAAATTAAATAAAAAAATTTTAAAAAATAATATTATGAGTAAAATGAAATTGCGGAAATAATCAGGTTACCAAATACATAGCTTACCCTATAAATTTTTTGGATATATTGGGTCTTAATCCCACAGTAGGGTGAGAAAGCAGGTGTGACAGGCCCATCACATGTTAACCCGGGATGGCCAATCAAATCAACTATGCATCTCGCTTGTTAAGAACTGACCTAAAAACCTGGCCGTCGAGAGTGCACACTTTCGACCTTGAGCTTCTCAATTAAAAAAATTAATACCTTCCTCTGAAGCGGTGCTGTTGGCTGCCGCTGCACGGTTTCATCGTTCATCATCCCTTCTCGTCCCTCAATCTCTGTTGTAAGTTCTTTCTTCCTTTCGGATTATTGAAGTTATTATTTTAATCATTATGCTGCTAAAAGTATTGAATTAAATCTAGGCGAGAATGTTAATCGAAATCTTATTTTATCGCCATATATTTTTTGTATATTTTATTCATATAAGCCGTGCCTCGTTGTTTTTCTTTTTCTTGCAACGGTTAGATTTTCTCTTTGATTTTTACAGCATTTCGCCCCTGAATAAACTTATAAATAAAGAATGATGCAAAAAATGTTCGGACTATCACGGATATGTGAAATGAATTTCGAACTAGGAAATGCTTTATTGTCTTCCCATATGCAGTTGCTCTACGATTCGTTCGCTCATTTTTCTTTTCCTCTTAAGTAAAAGGTTTCCTGTGCTGAAGTGGTGATGTTATATTTATGGTATTTCCAGGCTTTAGTTGATTGTCCTTCTATCAAGATGGTTGGACCAGCTCCGTTTGTAGAAATGGGCAAAAAAGCCAAAGGTACGAGTTGCATAACTTGCATTAGCCTTTACTTTTTCTTGTTTGGTATTTTCTGTTTAGATATGCTTGCACTTGTCATGGTCTTGCCAGAAATTACTATTTATTGGCAACTCTAACTGATAAGCAGCTTTTCAGAGGCTTGGTGATGGTTTGGAAGAGGAATTGGAAATACTCATGCAGTTAGATTTTTCAAAACACTTAATAAAGCAAAGAAAATGCTTATATTTATGTGATAGATAACCAAAACAAGTACTTAGTATTATACTAGCACACTGAGGATTAGCAGTTGTACCATATGCTCAATAAGATAAATTTGTCTAATAGATTGGTCTTACATTTTTTATTAAGACTTCTCTCGCTATTTGTAACTTTAAATGACTGTTAATTAATACCTACTGCAGTTGGTCGTTAGTCTGTCATGTTACACAACAGACTTCAAAACCCGCTTTTTTTTGCTATAGATTCTAATCATTTCTTATCATGTTATGCAGACCTCCTGACAAAAGATTACAACTTTGACCAGAAGTTTAGTCTTTCAATGCTGAGCTCCACTGGAATGGTAGTGTTTTCTCAATAGAACTTGTTGACCTTTTTTATTGAGCTGCTTGATTGTAATTTTTGGACAGAGTTTGATTAATGCACTTGAAAACTTAAATTCTGTTTTGCCATGATTTTATATGCATTTGAGGCTATGGTGTGAGAATAGTTTGTTATATTAGCAGAATCATTATATGTTAGGTTTTCACATATGAACATCATGCTTATAGGATGGTTTGTTTGGTCTATGATATTAATTCCTTTCTTTTGAGCAATCTTCTGCCACAAATTACTGGCAGATGTAGGGGAAAAACAATTTATTCTCAGAAAGAAATTGTGTACAATGAATAGTATTTTATTGATTTTTCTTTTTGCTACTCCCTTGTTATGTTCCCGTTGTGCATGTATATCTGTAGGAATCCACACAGGATGCCCCAAATTTCATAATTATTTAAAATTTTGTCTGCTAGTAGTTTCTCGTGATAAACTGGATGAAACTGGTACTTATGACATTATGTGGCCGTGGGTTGCCGGAGTTTTCTTTGAAATGGATGATGACAGACTTAAAGGTTTTTGTGGCTGTAATAACAAAAACCACCTATGTTCTGTCCTTTCAATTTCCCTTTTTTCAATCCCTCAACTTTCTGTTTGCTTTCTTCCAATATGAGCTGAACTAGTCATATGTACTCTTCCTTGTATTACATTACCTAACCTTCATTTCCCTTTAGTACTCACCAGTGTTAAATGGCTAGACTGTACTGGTCAACTGAGAACCAATGTTCTGTCCATTCTGGTACATATAAGAACTACGAGCCTTTGGTGAACTAGTAGAAAATCAGTTTTACTGGTAAAAGAATAGCAAAACAGATTATCTTGGAATCTTTTTATTATTTTTTATTTATTACTTTTCTGCATGTGTTGGTATTTGAACTTTTAACCCTTTGTGATCATGTATTAAAGACCATACCACAAAACCAAATGCGTATTTTTGATATCTAATTACCTTATTTAATTCATATTTTGTATCAGAATCATATACCTAATATTTAATAGTTAATATATTCTTTAATTTAACAATTCTGTTGAACCGGTGACTCTGATGTCTCAACAGTTTGACATCCAGTCGTGTTTTCTATTCATTGGTATTAATTTCCATAACACATTTGATAAATAAAAGGTATGGTTTTCTGCCTCCAAATGGTAGGAAAAAAGTTTAGAAAAATGTGTTGAACATATGATTAAGCTTAGAATAAAACGAATTTGGAGAACCAGGGAGAGCAGGAGACATGGACAGTAGACGAGGTCAAACTGGGAGGCCTAAAAGAACTAAATACCTATTTGTTTTATTGATTGTGTTTTATAAGTAGCCTTAGAGAACTTGAAGATGGAACAAAAGTATGTACTTTCTAGATTTTGACATCTTATTCACTTTTACCATCAATAGATTCTAAAATTGCCAAAAAATGTACAGCTGATAACTTTTATTAAAAATGAAAAGAGCTCTTATGGTTTATTTTGTTTCTAAAATATTATATTGATCTGTACTTGAATTTGATTGTTATGTCATCTAATGTCATTCTTAAAATGTTTTGCAGGGACTTACAGCCACAGGGCTCAAGAAGGACCAACTTTTTTTTGGAGACATAAATACCGTGTATAAGAGTGGAAATACTACCGTGGATGTGAAAGTTGATACCTATTCTAATGTATAGAAGATTTTTCTTCTCCAATGTTTTGTTTGTGACTTCTCCATATTTGTTATTCAGTTTAATGTACCACCTTTTTGTATTTGGAGGTTGTTAAATCCTGATTGTGTAATCCCCAATAACTTTGTATCCTAGTTATTTTTTATTTATTTTTCGGCAGGTGTCCACAAAAGTGACTGTCAATGATGTCTGGCCATGTTCCAAAGCTGCACTAAGTTTTAGGATACCTGATCACAAGTCTGGCAAGGTCAGTGCATGAATTTTAATGGTATAAATGTAAAATGACAGTCTTAATTTCTCATAGTAACCAACATACTCCCCATATTATTATTATTAGTTTGCTAGCAATGCACTTTTCATGTTTTGTGGGATGTGTTTATGCTGACTGTCTATCATTCCTATTCTCTTGCCTACTACATATTTACCAAGGCTATAGTAGATATGGTTGCTGTTTTATTATGTCTCCTTCTAATGCATGGTACCTAGTTCTACTTTCTGTCATTTTATCTGGAAAATTGTTAATTTGTCAATGTAAATCAGTTTGATGGATAATTACACTCCAATTTTCTTGTTGATTCAAAAGAAAGATCATCAGCAGTCACTTCTGTAGAAAATTATATTACCGAACACTTCAATCAATTGGTTGAAACTGAATCTTTTACTTTCTGCATACTTCATATCTCAGTTGGATGTCCAATATCTTCATCCTCATGCTGCCATTGATTCTAGCATTGGCCTGAATCCATCTCCCCTATTGGAGCTTTCAGCAACAATCGGCAACAATGAGCTTTATTTGGGTGGTGAGGTTGGATTTGATACAGCTTCTGCTTCTTTTACCAAGTACACTGCTGGGATCAACTTGAACAAGCCAGATTTCTCTGCTGCTCTTTTGCTGTAAGTATTTCAAGATCATCTACCTTACGAGATATTTATTCCTTTTAGGTGTACATCTAGTTTATCTTTTTTATGCTAACACCTTCATGCTTCAGTTGGGTTGACTACTGCTGCATCATGAGCAGTTTATAACATCTTAGCATTTTACAAAATCTCGAGTTGGATTCAGATTGATCCTAAATATTGTTTGCAAGTAATATGATCCTAGCCATTAATAAAAAGTTTCCAGGTAAGAAATACTTTAGATTTTGGTAATCTACTGATTGTCATTGGGCTCTTCAAAAAAAATATTCTTGATCTCTAAACTTTGATTTCTACCAACACGCTCCACAAACTTTGTATGTCATGAAACCCAGTATTTCACCTTATCTTTCAGTAAATACTGCCAGTTTATTTGTTTTTCTCATAACTCTTTTTGGCAAAATTTTGTTTCTTGTCTGATTCTGGAATGGTGCACCCCGTCTTTCAGTTTCTGCCCACTTTGGTCAAGTTAAATGAGATTTAGTCTGCTAACTCGTACACGTCCAGTAATCATTGCCAGCTTTTTCAAAGAATCACAAGCAATTGAGCAAAATGTCTACTTCACAAGCGTATTTTTATCTTAGTTTCTGTGACCTGTATAGATTTGGGGGTGAGAGAGAGAGAGAGACAGTTGACCAAGAAAGAAAGAAAGGGGAGTGCAGTTAGTTAAGGGGCTGCTGGAGTAAGGGACACTTATTAGTATGAAAGAAAGGGTGATCCTATTTCCAATATGTTTTGGCTTCTTATAATCAAATGTCAATTATCACATGAGTTTGCATGTAGGATCCACTTGTAAGTAACTGAGACTGATATGCATTGATTGATAACTAAGAAAAAAGGAAAGGAAAGAATAGCGTACTACTCATTGGCATTGAGTTGAATGCTGATGTGCTTGCCATATCAGCTCTGTGTTTTTCTTTGTAATGCCAGAGTGACGTTATTCCTTGCATATTGAGAATTTCAGTGACCTAATGTTTATAAATTGAAGCTTAACGATACAGATGGAGCTTTGAAACTTAGTGAGTACAACCATGCCATTTAAGATGCCTTTGAAGTCTATCTTTCTTGTTATTGTTCTATTTTCTGCATCATATAGAAATGGCAGTAGAAAATGTGCTATCAGTATTGATATTTTGTGTATTGCTATCAGTATTGATAACAATCATTATTATTATCTATAGATTCAACGATCTTTATTATGGTAAACCATAGTTTGATTCATTTGATATATTTGAAGATGACGTGTCAGGTTATCATTTAAAAGAGGCAAAACCAAGAATGTGAAGCAGTTTGGAGAGACTTTAAGATGCACGGGAACCATCGGGATAAATTAAATAGCTAGATGACCTAATATGGCTTATCCTATTAGTTGTCAACATTTTATGCTCCGTATTGTTTTATGTTCTTTCCCTGTCATGAAGGCCTTGCCTTAAATTTTTGAATTCATGTTTTCTTTTTTTAGGACTGATAAAGGACAGGCATTGAAGGCATCATATATCCATTCTGTCAATCCCTTCACTTCTGTTGCTGCTGAAATGGCTCATAGATTTTCTACCTATGAAAACACTTTCACCATTGGAAGTTTTCATGCCGTGGACCCTTTTAGCGTGGTAAAAACGCGGTTCTCTGACAATGGTAAGGTTGCAATGCTCTGCCAACGTGAGTGGAGGCCGAAATCACTAGTAACATTTTCGGCTGAGTATGATTCGAAGGCCATGAATGCATCCCCTAAGATGGGGCTTGCCCTTGCTCTCAAGCCTTGACCGTGAAGATCTCATTCCGTAATTTTAAATTTTGATATGCTTTTTCCCCGAACCCTTGTTGGAGTTGTCATTCACCCAGATTATTTTGTAGCGAAAGATTTTAAAAGCAAAAATGTTCATATAATGGGCTGATGAATGTTTTCACCATAACATTGGTGTGGGGGAAATGAACCCAAATTTGCCAAATTTTATAATGATTACAGCACAGCAGTTTTTCTTGCTGAATGCTAATAATGTTCAAGTTCTGTGTAGGTGGTGCTTCCCCTAATGTATTGATGATTTGTGGCGTTTACTATCTTCATTTTTCAAGGCTGCTTTTGTTTTCAATGACTATGAAATACAACCGGTTAACGTAAGCTTAAAAAAATGCAGAAATCGGTTTTAATCTAAAAATTTATCACGAACTTATTTTTAGAGTTAATTGAGCAAAATTTTAAGTTGAAATAAAAAAATATTTTGTTATTTATAACAATTCATGTGAATTGTATAAATATTTCGGTGCAACTTAAAAATTGTCGTCAAAACATTGTCTGTTATACTAGAAACTATTATAAATTGTGTGACTTTTTTGGATAGACATGTAATATTTTAGGTTAAAATCTGTCGCAATGTAATTGTCTCGGTGTACTCAAAATTATTATCAATTATATAATTTTAAAGGTTGGACAGTGTAATATTTTATGTTAAAATCGGTCATAAATTAACCCTGCCGACAGAACGACCCCTTTTTTGCTTTAAACGCCACTTACGTTCTCAAATGGTAGCCATTGAAAAGCAATGGGAAGAGAGGAGGAAGCATGAGAGAAAGCTGATACACTTAAATTGAGTTTTCTATTCTTTATCAGTGCAAAGGAAAAAAGTAGAGTTTTACTTGATTGAGCTTCTCTGTTTAACTCCATTTTAATACAGATCCTTATTTTACGTGAATTTATTCTTAATCATCTTGGACTTCATTAAAAAAAAAATTGGTCATACAACTTTAATAGATCCCGATTAAATAACACAGTAAAATCGATATGGTATTTTTTTATAATTAACTTATTTTGAAATATTTGAACTGGAGATTGAGATAAAACCTGTGCTTTAAATACCAAAAATTGGGGGTGAGATCATGCATTAGAATCCCAAATGGAACATATATTTGGAAAGAGCATTCTCACAAAATTGGCAAGAAGAATACAATCTTTAATATGAACTATTACCGCTAGTAATTTCAAATTATTTTACCAATTTAATGTCAAACTCATTGCAAGAAAGGGTAAATTACATTGGCTGTCATTAAATCTTTTAGAGTACTTTCACCTTGGTCATTGAACTTTTATAACTTATATTACAATCACTGAACTTTTAATTCACTTTTATTATGATCATTATCATTAGCCGTTGTTAAGAAAAGATGACGTGACACGTTAAAAAAATCCTAAATTTCTTCTTCCAAATTGATAGTCGTTTCTCCTCTTTGCGTCATTGTTTCTATAGTCGTTTGATGGATTCTTCGGTCGAAAGATCATTGAGATACTACAACTCTTCTTTTCTTTCTTTCTTCCATTCAAGCTTATTGAAAAACTTTTCAATATCACCAAATCCAATCGAAATTAAAAGCTAAAATTTTCTTTGTCAATGTTAACCGTCAAATCAACTTGAAATTGAACTATATTAACATTTTAAATTGAACTATATTAACATTTTGGTCAAAAGAAGCCTTTTCATTGTTGGAATTGATCGGTGATCACTCCGTTCATCGAAAACTCATCAAGGCTGAGTTCAATAGTTTTATTTTTCTCTTCCTTTTTCTTTACTTTTTTTTTCTTATTTTTGTTGTTGTTTATTGTCTGCTGCTATCGATGATTTTGGTTGGGAACGTTGGTCGGAAGAATGCTGACAAAACAATAACAAAAGGAGGAGTGTTGGGATATTCGATGAAGCTCAATGATAAACCGAATAGTGCCAAGAGGGGGTGAATTGGTCAATTTGAGTTTAGGGAGTAAGGAGTAAAAAGAGATAAGAATTTTGCATAAGAATTTATAGTGGTTCGACTTCTCAACCAAGTCTACATTCACTATATTGGCTCCTCACTAAGGATTTTCTAACAAATTCACTATTTTGTTTTTTCTTTTTACTTGATAAAGAGATAACCTTTACAAACTCCTTAGCTTTTAAAAGGCTTATCTAGAACCACTCCCCTTTTACAAAAATGAATAAAGATGTAAACAAGAAAACCCTTACAAGGTAGGTGTTTACAAAATTAACCTCATAAGAACAAAAATATTTACAAGAGAAAATAAAATAAGAATGAAAAATTCTTTCTTGTGTTTGATTGCTTTATAGGTGTTCTAACCCTTCTTCAAGTGTCCTCAGCTTGTTTTTATAGGTTGTAATGTGTTTGTGGCAGTTTCTAACCGTTGGGAATGATTTGGAGTAATTGGAGATAATTTTTCTACAAAATTAAACTGCCAAGGACAGGGAGTATCGATACTACCTTTGTAATATTTAAATAAACTAGTTGTTGGGCCTGACTAATATCGATATTATGCTAATGGTATCGATACTACTGTGTAAAGTAGTATCGATACTCCTTTGAGTATCAATATATATTTTGCATTCTGGAATTTGAGCAATTTGGAAAACAAACAGTAGTATTGATACTACCTGGAGAGTATTGATACTCTCTTACCTTTGGTATCTGTACCACATGAATAGTATGGTACTGTTCATATAGTATCGATACTGTAATAACAATATCTATACTACGTACCCTGAAAATCAATTTTGTGCTCAAATTATAGTTTAATGGACTTTGAATTTTTTTGAAAACTTTGAACAAATTCAATCAAGTCCAAAAACATTTTGCTTTAATTTATTATATCAAAATATTATAAAACATAATTCAACAAGGAGTAACAACTACCAATTTGGAAATGGAAGCTTAAGACTTCTTAGGAGTTTTAACGTGTCACGTCAATTTTTTCAACATCAGGTAACATCAACGATAGTAACAATAATATTTTAAAAGTTTAGTAATTGTAATGCATGTTTTAAAAGTTTAATAACCAAAATGAAAGTATTTTAAAAGTCTAATGACCATAAGTGTAGTTTACCCAAAGGAAAGTATCTAACATATTTTGGGAATCCATCTTTTTCGTGATTGATTTGATCATTATTTTTTATAAGTCAACGAATAAATAATTATAATTTATTTAATCATATTTAAAAATCTTAAATAGGAGAATAGGAGGGATAAAACCCTCTCATTAATTATCATCGCCAAGGTTTTGGTTATTAGTTCAAATTATTGAAGATGATGATTATGTTAGTTTTGTAGGAAGAGAAAAGTCACACACCATATATTTAAATTACAATTACAATTATGGTTACGTTTAACGTGATTACGAATATAAAAAATATTATTATTATTATTATCGTCGTGAATAGTATAATCATATAATAATGGTATCGAACACTATCACTACTACTATATAATACGCATTATTGCGATCGTGGAGTGTTCCTGTGACAAACACAAAACTACACTCAAGGAATAGTCCATAGCCATCTCTCATCTCTAAATCCTCTTTGTTTTTTCCTCATTGCTGCTGTTTTTCTTCTTCATCCTACAATGAAAGAGTATTGGAATTCTTTGGCTTCACTGTTAGGGGTTTTGGCCTTTTTCCAAAGCATCCTCCAACTGGTTTTCCCACCGGAGCTTCGCCTTCTCTCCCTCAAATTCCTCAGCCGTATCTTCCATTTGTTCTCTTCCTACTGCTACTTTGACATCACAGAGATCGACGGCGTCAACACCAACGAGCTCTATAACGCTGTCCAAATCTATCTCAGTTCCTTTGTTTCACTCAAAGGCAGCCGCTTGAGTCTCACTCGTGCACTCAACTCGAGCGCCACCACGTTCGGTCTCTCCAACAACGACTGCATCGTCGATACGTTCGGCGGCGTCACCGTGTCTTGGAAACACGTCGTGATTCAAAGGCAATCCCAGACTTTTGCTTGGCGACCATTGCCTGAGGAAAAGAGAGGGTTCACTCTCAAAATCAAGAAGAAAGACAAGTCATTGATCCTTCATTCATACCTGGATTACATAATGGAAAAGTCAAACGAAATCCGTAGGAAGAATGAAGACCGGCTTTTGTACACAAATTCTCGTGGTGGGTCATTGGATTCAAGGGGACATCCATGGGAGTCTGTTCCATTCAAGCATCCGAGCACCTTCGACACATTGGCTATGAACCCCGACAAAAAGCAAGAGATCATGGACGATCTAAAGGATTTTGCTGATGGTCAGTCGTTTTACCACAAGACCGGGAGAGCATGGAAAAGAGGTTACTTGCTCTACGGTCCTCCAGGGACGGGGAAATCCAGCATGATCGCAGCCATGGCGAATTACTTAAACTATGACATCTTTGATCTTGAACTAACCGAGGTCCATAACAACTCTGAGCTGAGGAAGCTGTTGATGAAAACAAGTTCCAAATCCATAATCGTCATTGAAGACATTGATTGTTCGGTTAATTTGACCAACAGGAAGAAGAAAAACAAAAGCAATGATCCTGAAACAAGATGTGTGTCTGGTGTTGAAGATGGAGGTAACTCGACCATTACTCTCTCGGGGCTGTTGAATTTCACCGATGGGCTATGGTCTTGTTGTGGGAGTGAAAGGATCTTTGTGTTCACAACAAACCACGTCGAGAAACTTGACCCGGCATTGCTCAGAAGTGGGAGGATGGACATGCATATTTACATGAGCTACTGTTCGTATCCAGCATTGAAGATACTGTTGAAAAACTATCTGGGGTACGATGAAACTGATTTGGATTCCGATGTTTTGAACCAACTGACGGATGTCGTCGACAAGGCCGAGATGACACCGGCCGATATCAGCGAGGTTCTAATCAAGAACCGGAGCTGCAAGCACAAGGCCGTCACTGAATTGCTGGACACAATGAAGATAAGGGCAGAGGGGAACATGAAATGTGGTAGTCCGAGGGAGAACAGTTCAGATGAAGAGCAGGAGAAAAGGGCTTTGGAGTGTCCTAAAGAAGGGTCTGGTTTTGAACAGCCTTGCAAGGAAGAAGAGAATGAGGAGATGATGAAATGATAATCGAAGCTTTCTTTATTGTTTTTGTTTTTCTTGAGAAGAAAATAATGTAATCAATATCATATTTGAAGCCAATACATACTGATATGTGTGGGATTTTCTGTGTTCTTCTGCAAAATCATATTGATGAATGGTCTGCAAATGATCAACCCTTCAATCCAACATTACAAATTGTTGGTGTTGGTGTTGTGTGCAATTGGAGTGCACATGCCATAGATGTTTATTCAAACTAACTAAGCGAAATGAACCCACTATACGTGTTTGATGTGTTATATGTCAGGAGATATCTCATGAAAATATTTCTCCATGTGCAACAATTATTTCTATCAAAATCTTCGAAAGAATTCTTCCATTAAGCAAAGTTTCTGGAGCCTTATAGCCCTCAATTGATCACAATCTTTTGACAGGATTACTGACAAGCCTGCAAGATCAATTAGGGACAAATCTAGTGTCAGACGACTGAATTTATTTACCTAATCTGTATATCTGTTAATAACAATCATGATCTCATACTTGAGACCTGCACACAAATGAGAGTCCGTATATAAACACTCGTGTGGAACACAAAAAAGAATTGAACCCAGAAGAAGTATTCATTTTCTTCACCATTTTCCTGACCAACTGATCCCTTCAATACTTTTTATCTAAAAATAACAGATAATTATTCTCCGTCTACATTAAAAGGGTGAATCGTCTTTAACCTACATAATACTTTACTAGTTCTTTTTGTATCACTTGATTGGGGTTAATTATTTTTGGTACTTGACATTGATGGTAAGCAAAAAAGCAAATTCTGCTATTGACCATTGATTGATAGGTAAAGGCTTTGTTCCTTCTTCTAATACATGACGACAATGCAAAACCAAATCCATCAGTATTGAGTCGTTGAGGACTCAACTGGAAAGGCAAAAGTTTTCATACTACTACTCGAGTTAATACAGGAAATTGTTTGAACTTACAACTTGCTACTTTGTTGTCTTGCCAACTTCCAATTGGGATTTTGGGGTCCAAGATATAATTTCATGCTTGAAACCGACGTGGGTGATTGATAGGGATCAGAGTGTTTATAGGGATACTTTGGGCAAAACACATGGTGAACTAATGAAAGGAAAAAGGACCAGATTTTGTGTTGGGAAAGAGTAGGATTTTGAGTAACCAAAGGCTAACGAGAAAGTCATGTCTGATAATGAGCATAAGTTGACCCTTTCCTTGTTATATTCTAGAGTGAGTTGTAAAGGGCATTGGATTTTTGGGTGTTAATCTCATGCATAGATTTCGAATAATAAAAATTCCTTCACATTCGATATATATATATATATATATATATATATTTATCTAAATACCACGCATTTTAAATTATCTTTTAAATATTCCTTTTAGTTTAATTTTTAGATTAATATCTTTTTCGTCGTGCAAGACAAAGACGTGTCTTGTTAAAAGTGTCTCGTTAAATATCTAAATTAAATTATTTTATCGTTTCTATACAGGCATTCAGACTTAGATATAATGCAATTGGAGGTAGGATTGTAAATGAACCGAGTCAAGTTTGAATGTTTTTTTAACTTAACTCGATTTGAAAAGTTTAAAATTGAGCTCGACTTGACTATAAAACTCTCGAGTTTAAAATTGTCAAGCTCGATTCGAATTCGAAATAAAAAATTGAAGCTCGACTTGAGGTCAAAATATTCTCAGACTTAGCTCAACTGAAGCTCGAACTAGAAATCGGTTCAAGCTCGAACCTGAACCTTTAGTACATGAAAACCTTATATTGCATTTGTTTAATAAGCAACAACTCATAAAGAACTTGAGTCAAGTTCGAATTCAAATACAATTCATTGAATTCCAATATTGACTAAATTTTGATCGAGTTAAATTCTAATAACTCGTGATCTGTCTCGTCTCATATAAAATAATAATCGGAGGTCATTTGGGTGCTAGTTGTTGTGGCCCCATAAGTGGTCTAGCATGGGGAGCTCCAATGGGTTGTCATGGGATTTGGTATTCTCAGGACGGAGCTAGGATTCCAACTCAAGGGAGTAAAATATAATTGATCATTAAAACGAGGAGAAAAAAAATTAACCATAGAAAATGAGAGGGACAAAATCAAAATAAACTAAAATTAACTTTAATTTAAGTCATATATTTTTTTAATAATAAAAAATGAGAGTAGTACTTAATTATTGGAATTTTTGGTTAATTGTATGGTATAATTTCCTTTACCCTATGTTGGGTAAAAGTATTTTTTTTTTCTAAAAATTATAAAACTTTTAATTAATAAAATGATAACATTAAACTTCATATCCCTTAAATATTTTACAATTTAATCTCATCCTCATACAAGAAAAATTTGACTTCACCCTTGACCTAATAAGTTGCACTTCAACTTTCATGATAGTATTCGAACCTAGGCTCTCTTGGGGCTCTTCCACTACTCAACACGACTCTTCTCTTGTAGTATTATTCTCTCTTAGTATGGTTTGGAGTTCGAATATTATCATGAAAATTGTTAGATTTCTTGTAAGTGTTAATTTTTTCGTAGTTTTAATGATCTTTTATTTTCTTTTTATTAAACTATGTGACAAGTTGCAAATAGCAAGGTGAACATGCAATGTAACGAGCCATCATCACCCATAAAAAAAATAGCATGACAATTTATTTGACGGAAGCATTAGAAAATATTAGTTTTGGGGTTGAAAATATATAGTTTCGGAATATTGAGCACTAGAATTTCATTTAATTGTAAAACAAGGACTAAAACAATAAAAAGAAGAAGAAGTAAATATATGAACCTTATATAAAATTTGACCTAAATATTTGCTCGACCTAAGCTGGTTTGCCGTTCCGAACCGGACTAGTTGAACCGAAGAACTCCTTATTCACGAACTGGTGCTTCTTCCTCGGCTCTTTCTTTTTCCTTTTCTTTTCCAGTTCAGCTGCCGCCCAAAGCTGCTCTTATTTCAGAGTCTAGACACTTCCAAGTTTATTTCAATGGAGGAAGATAAGGTAAAATGCTACCTCTTTAGTACTTTGCTTCTCGTTTTCCTTTTCATATCTTTCTCAAGTTTAATTTTGTTTAGCTTGCTATATTGGGTTTGCTTGTGAAATCGATTTATCAGAAAAAGGAAACTTAACACGATATCGATTACAAAAATTTCAGCTTCAAATGTTCTGATTTTGCATTTGCACTTCGGCTGTCGTTATGTTAATCACTAATCAACTAGACTAAATCATTATTCTTTCATTTTCTGCCAGCTTTCCTTTAAATTCAGTTGGTGTGTACTACTGTGCTTATGTCAAAGTTCCCTTCTTTAAAGGATTAATGTTTGATATATGCTTTTGTTTATTGGACTATTATCTCATAGCAGTGAAGTGGAGTTAAGATTTTTCAACATATCCAAACGTCTTCATTGAGATTCTAATTTCCATGTTATTTTTTTATTGGCTTATTGAAATCTTAGATTATCTCTCCATGTTGCATCTTTCTTGTGTTACAAGATTGTTGCATCTGTTCAAGAAGCTGAGCTGGACTATGAATTGATCATGCTACTCAGCAAAGAGTTGTTTCATTTCTATTTAGTTTATGCAAACCTGATTTTTTTAAATCTCAAAACTTGTTTTCCACCTGTTAATTCCAATTTTTCCATGTACAAATCAATAGAAAACTCGCCTGTTTGGAGGAGGAACATAAAACGCTATTTTTATGTTCAATAACCAATGTTGATCTATTAGTTAACCACCATGCAAAGGTCGGGCTGTCTCCACCATGGTTCTCTCTCCTCCATCTATGTTATATTGAAGATTTTCTGTCTGTCTGTGTGTGTCATCATGCATGCCGTGCATATGCTAATCACTTGGTGCATATCTTCTTTTAGACATGTCTATGTGCACATTGATTGGCATCCAGATGGGGCAAGGTAGTAAAAATCCAAGATCAAACTGCACATAGAGTGGATTGCAGAGTGGTGCAGTTGTTACTAAAGGTTGAGAGTCCATATGACATTCCAGAACAGATCATCATCACTACATATGGGAGAAAATTCATGATCATAATTAAAGTTGATGGTGCTGAGGATTTTTTTCCAGAATTAACAGATATGGAGGTAGAAGAAGTTGCAGAGGAACCATGGGAGGAAAGCTCTTCGGAGTGGAGCAAGGAAGATGTGCAGAATAGGCAAGAAGAGCAGGTGGGAGTACAAGAGTTGTCAGAACCCCAGAATAGGATTGAGTGTTGGATTAGAAGTTCTCAACAAGGCAAAAACACAACTACCGAGGGAGGTTTGAATTTAAACATAGGTATGGAAGATAATTTTGTTTTGTGCAAAAATGTGACAGAAGTAGGGGATGTCTCCATACAGCAGGAAAAGTCAGAAGATGTTAATGAAGGGAGAGAAAATGGGAAAAGTCTGGGAGGTGTTCCCATAGAGCATGAAAAAGTTGACTGCGGAAATGGGCTTATTAGGGGCCTGGATTTACATTTGAGGAGTGGGCTGGATCAAGAGGAGGAAAGATTAAGCAAGGGATGTTGTTTTGAAACAGCAAAAATAATGTTGCACATTACCAAACTCCAGTGCAGGCAGGGTCTGTTTCCTTGTCTTCTTATAGAAATTCGGGGATTGTAGCTGGTTGTAGAATGGGAAGGGGCAAATATAAACATGTTTATTCAAGATCTAGGTTGAGGGGAACTAGGAGCTGTTTAGGTACAAGTTCGGAATATGAATATAGAAATGAGGAGGGGGATGGGGCAGAGGCATTGGAGAGCTGGAATGTAAGTAAATTGTTAGGGATTTCATTTAGAGGGGGAAAAAAGCTTTTATGAACAAAGCAAATTCATTGGTTAAGGGGAGAGGAGTGCATGGGGGGAATTAAGGGGTGATGGATTTCAAGGTTATGACTGGATATAGATGACTAGTTGGAATTTACTGTCTTGGAATGTTAGAGGTTTGGGTAGGAGAATTAAGGCTAGAGCTGTAAGGAGGGTTGTTAAGGAGAGAAAGCCTGTAATTTTATTCATTCAGGAATCGAAAATGGAAGTGTTGACTCCGCTGGTAGTGAGGAAAATGGGTGGTAATTTGTTGACAGCTTCGGCAGCTGGAGGTTCTGTTGGAGGTCTGATTACTTTATGGAATGAAAAAGAGTGTAAGATTATAGAGGAAATCATTCATAGGAGGTTTGTAGTAGTTAAGGGTATTATTGATGGGTTACAAGGATCCTGTTGGTTCATAAATGTGTACGGTCCGAGTGTCGATTCAGAAAAGGAGGCGTTTTTCGGGGAGCTGTTATCATTCTTAGAGAATATAGACTGTCCAGTGTGTCTCGGAGGAGACTTCAATGTTGTAATGTCACAGGATGAAAAGATGGGAGGTGCAGTTAACTTAGTTACAATGTTTGCTTTCAAAGATTTTATGAGCAAAGCTAATTTACTGGATTTGCCTTTGGTTGGAGGTCGATTTACATGGTGTAACAATCGGGATATCCCAA